TGACCCCCCAAATTTAGTGTTCTGCGTTAAAGTCACCACCAAATGTAATTTTCACATTTGATTTACTTTAAAATTTACATAAAAGATTTATTTTGAATATGACATTGAAAAAGATCACTGATAAAATAAAATGAAGGATAAAACCAAATGTAATATATAGTAAATACAATTATGCCGCACTATGTTGTCTTCGTCCAGATATATTGCTTGGCTAGAGCACAGGTAGTCTGAAGTGAGTCACACCCAACCTCAAATTGCCATGGACCATGGTCTTTAACCGATCCCTTTGGATCAAATACGGCAGTTTCCTTTCCACGGACTCACTGAGGTTCAAGGACAATGACCAATCGGCCTAGATCTATGAATTATGGCAGCTCAGAGTCAACAACCGCATAAGGACCTATATTTCCTTCTCCGAAACAGACCGGCCAATGAACAAACTTCTTAGAGGCTACTGATATCCTGGAAAACGTCATATATATTTATTATGTAATACATATAGTATTACGACATTGAGTAAATAAGGTATTATCTCAATGACGTATATTCAAAATTTGACTAATCCAAGCAGTGATATGATATAAAAAAATAATTATAAAAATCAGGAAAATCTAAAAAATGGTCAGAATTAATTATATTAATATTCATCAGTTTTTAATGATGTGACTATGCAATAAGACAGTTTCTCAACAGTGACTGTATCATTGTATTTTTTTTTTTTAATTTTTGGAAATTTCAATTTGTTTTCCTTCTTTTTTTATAATTTTCAATGTTCTCATAAGCAAACTTGAAAATAACGCGACCTTAAAGATCAGCATATGATAAATAATATCTGATTAGCATAAGTAAATAAGTAATGATTTTAAATATAAATATATGAGTCATTAGGGACAGGTAAATTCATGTCCTTGGTGTGAACGCCTCTGTCAACAATAATGATTCATTTAGAAATATGAATTATTTAAGAAGAAATTATTAGTATCAGATATTTCTCCCACATGATCTATTAATCTGATATTTATATAATAATTAATAAATCAGTAATAATTAGTTAATAACTAAACCCTAACATAATCGCTAGTCTTGTCACAAGATATAAGTTCCTGATTTCAGGTAATTTTATGACAAGTGTAATACAATTATCCAAAGTTAACAAATCGATTTCGATGCAGTAGAATAGTTCCTACTCGTATAATTATACAATGTTATTGCATTAAAATCACTCATAACGCTGAGATTAGCTGCACGAAATGTTTGAACTTCCCACGATTGAATAGTTCATTCTAAAACAGCATGTAAAATTTATGGACTCATTGAAAACACTTCCAAATCCTCTTTTCAATACGCTAACTCCAGCACCGGCTCCAGTTCGGTCGCAAAGTTCAGTCTTCTTTCAATCTTGGATAGTAAGTTAGCTAGTAAGTTAGTTATTAAGTAGTAATAAGATCCTTATACTGAGCTTCCAATACAAAGGTCCCGAGTTCGAACCCCGGCTCATGGCAGAAAATTTATTTATCTGTTTCATTGGCCGTGGGGGCGACCTTGGGTCAGGAGTCCCTCCTGGGGCACACTCAGCCTCTATAAAGTGGGTACCCTCAATTAAGTAATTGGTTAAGGGGGAAAACCTGGCGGTTGAGCGTGATCTCGGTCAAATCACCTGCTTGCACAACCGTTGACCTAGGAACAGTGCTTTCCCTAAATAGTACTGAACCCCAGACCCTTCATGGGTTGTAGTGGTACAGGTTTTTTTAAGGTCCTTATAAACACAAAAATGGGTGAGCCCCATCGCCTTTACTGATACATTTAATAATTATTATTACAACAAAACATAAACACAATTTCAATAAGGCCTTAAAATGTAACACAGTTACAGTAAAGGGCGTTCAACATCAAAACAAATTGTTCAAAGTACTATATTATTGGAGTTAAGAAAAAAAAAATAAAAGAAACAATACCGAGGAGTGAAGTCAATTTTAAATATATTTTTTAGATTTGAAATAAAATTCACGATTCTTGAAATAAACAAAATAAAAATTCACAATTCAGCAGAATTTTAGCAACCACTTCTAACAAACATGATTAGCGATTCAATGCTAAACGAATTTGTACCTGTTAAGACGATTCTCGACTTGCTGATTTCAATAACAAGTTTCACTTTCCATTTTCGGAATATTTTCCCTTTGCTTAACTTATTAACCTAAATGGTTAGTGGTTAGTTCACTTCGTTATAGATTTATGTTTTTATGACCCAAATATCGAGGCGATGCGAACCATTCAAACCTACTTGAAGTTGAGGGACACTAATTGACCAATATATAATACAGAATAAAAAATATTTATTTATTTATTAATCAAACATGAAATTGAATTATTATTATTATTATTATTATTATTGCGCTACGGTCCTGCAAGAACCCGGGCCTCCTCCATTACAGCCAACCAATCTCCACGGTCTTGTGCTACTTCCCTCCATCTTCGAACGCCCAGCCGCCTCAGATCGTCCTCAACATCCTCCAGCCATCTGATCCGAGGGCGCCCTCTACTTCTTTTGCCATCTGCCTTGTCATGCTGCAGCATCCTCTTTGGTATTCTTTGCTCTGTCATTCTTTCCACATGACCTAACCATCAGGTTCACCATAGAATTTTCGCAGCTCCTCATTCTTTCTTCTCCAAATCATATTCTAAAAGATTTCGCCCCATATTTTTCTCAATACTTTCCTCTCCTAGGAGTTGAGGGTTAAGATCAAAGTCTTCCACCCATATATAACTACTGGCCTTACTATGGTTTTGTATATGAGAATTTTGTTTCTTTTGGAGAGTGATCTGAACTTCAAGTCTCTTTGCAGTGAGTAATAGCATCTATTTCCTGCTGCAATTCTGACCTTTATTTCACTCTCTATTTTAATAATAATAATATAATGTTTAAATTAATATCTGTACTCCGGAGGTAAAGAAAAGAACAACTAATACTGTGTACTGAAAAAAAAATCAAATTACTTTTGATAATATTGGATAAAAATATATCATTTACAACAAGTAAAATGAATGGATATTATTATTTTTAAATGCAGCTAATTTATGACAGTAATTTAGCTAAATGCGAAAAATTAGGACATGCTACAGCGAATTGTGAATAATTGGAAGGAAACGTATAAAAGCCGTCGGAATAAAAAGATTGAAGATTAGCCGGTGAATGACTGTCTTGTAGTTAACGACCACATCCTCCTTAATCAATCGTGGAATTAACCGTGCAATTGCCGGTGAAATGTACCCGTCATCGCCTTTATTTCTTGTCGCGTGCCAGCTCTGTCATTTCATTATTCGTTTAAATAGTTCTGACGTGAATGAGATTAAGGAAATGCGTTACAACTGAAACCTTTGAAACTTTGAAACCTGATGTTCAAACTTTGAAACTTTTTTATTTATTCTGAAATACCTTTACGCACAGAGTCGCCCTTATTTCTAATATTCATTAACTCACCGTTAATAAAGGGATCACTTCCTGGTTTTAACCGTTTTTCCCCAATCCTCCTGCCGGTAGGATGTCTGATGGATTTTCTTGTTTCTTCAGATCCATGGAGACGCTTCTATCTTCCTTTCAATGTTTCACAAGGCTTCATTCCATCGGTGATTCCATAATACAGTATTCTGATCACGTGTCCCCAGCCATTTAATTCGGTTTATCCTTACAAATAGAAAAAAAAAAAAAGAACAATATGAAGTGGGTCCTGTTCGTTGGTCATTCTGAACGGAAATAATCCATTCTCCTCAATAAGTCCGTTGAATCTGTCTTACAATGTTCCTTCCGAGGACTGATACTTTACGCAACGTCTAGGCTTCGCATACACAAGTCAAGATGTGTCAGATCAGTGGTGCCCAGAAAGGAGTTTCATGGCTCAAATTGCGTCATAAAAATTTATGAGGAGAGAACATTTTTTTTAATGTTTGTGGGGAGCACATTTCGAAGGGGTGTTATGAATTTTCAAAATGAATAGTTTTTAATAAAAAAACAAATGGAAGTATAGAAAAGACCGCAAGATGTGTAATTGTATATAATCTATGTATTTTTAATTTTTTTCACTTTTTTCATAGATACTTCAAATAGGGGCTCATGCACTCCGTTCGAGCCACCTCTATTGTGGAAGAAAAAAATCGAATAACCAGTGTGACGAAATATTTTAGTTTCCAGTCAAATAATTTACAAATTTTCATTTGAAGTAATGTTTCCCTACATTTTTGATATTTACTTTGTTTCTTTCATGCTTTGATCATTATTAACAAAGTTATTGGTGTACTAGAATGAATTTGATTGCTTTTTTCTGACTAATAGCTGTATAATAATAATGATTAGTTAAGGGGGGAAACCTGAGGATGGAACGAGATCACGCTCCTATCATCACCACAAACAACCGTTAGACTTTCGTAATTAAAGTACTGAACCCAAGACCCTTCATTGGTTGTAGTAGTAAATGTCTTAATTATAGATGTGTATATAGATATATGAGATATAACGCCTTTCGATTTGCGATATACGAAACAATCACAAAAGGATTCTCGCTATCCTTCGCGATAAAACGAGAGTAATGATTCTCGAGATCAGGAGACAACTCATCACTCTAATCAGAGCTCCTCAATGATACCACCGCTATCGTATTCAGTCCAGTCTTATCCGACAAGGGATTCCGACAATTCAACACAATTCTCAGTCTAGAAACGTTACAGCAATAGGAACGTTGAGTCAGTGCGGAGCGGAAGAACCTCGTCAAGGATATACAACTGAGATTCTCTGATGGGGCCGAATCATTTACTAATTTAAAACTACTCTTAAGCAGATCCCGGTGGCTTTTTGTATTGCCATTCAAATTACTGAGAAATATCTTAAATTATAGTTGCATTTCTCGTTTTATTTGTAAGCACGTTTCTTATTATTATATACTTTTTTTTTCTTTAGTTTGATAGTTATAGAACTCCATTTTTTAAATATAACTTTAAATTTTTAGGATTTTCAACAGTACGGAGGACAATATTCAATTCAGTGAAGTACAGTTCAGGATCCGGCAGGAATTAGGACCAGGACGTCAACGAATGCCGTTTCGACCGAATATTTAGCAGGTACATATACATGATTTTCTTGATATATGGTTAGCTGATCCCTCTAGAAAATACCCTCCATATTTAATAGTTAACCAATATGACACATCTGTATCTAAACTATACTAATCAATCATTGTACTCGCTCAAGAGCTATTTGTTTGGTGAAAAAGAGCCCTGATTGGTAGTTCTCTCAGTTACTAAGAGTATTGACATCTATAACTGAGATTATTGAACGTGCCGGCCTTAGACATTCGGCGCCCCCAAGAAATGACGTCATCTCCTCCCGCTTAAAAATTAGATTTATTTCTAAAGCTTTTTTATAGCTGTTTGAGTTTTATTTCATTAAACATTTCTCTACTGCAGTTGCTTAATTGATAGGCTAAAACTCATTATTTTAAAGTTCAACAAAGCCGGCACTGAGTATGGAAGCCTCATTTCTATATTATCTCTTTATTGTAAAAGTGTTCCTCACCTTCCTCACCTTTTAGGCCTATAGGAGCTTTTCCAGGCCAGGGGATGAGGACAGGGGATTAGGACAGGGGATTAATGCTACATTTAATAGTCCCCCTTGGCACAGGGATACGAACTCGGTATTATTTTATCATACCATCTTATGTCAGGATTGCCATGAACACGCGGGGGGTCCACGGGAAATGTCCAAGGGATCATAAAGATATTCTCTTCCATTTATTTTTTCAGTTGACTTTTAGCTCGTCGAAGACTAACATAAACATCCTAATGAAACCATAGATACCTAAGAGGCATTCGGCAAGGATTAAGAAATATCTCATAAACGGCACATTTTAGGGATTAAAAGGTCTAAACGTCAATTTATCCCGTCTCGGTCCGTCGGCTATCTAAAACATTTGAGTTTTGAATGTTATTTAACCCATTTTTTCAATGTTATTTTAAAAACTTTATTCAAGAATTTAGTGTAGATCATTCACATAAACCTCCGTCAGTGGTGACTGATTAAATGTAAATAGTAAATGTAGTTATATAACTTAATTAAATAACCACAGTTAACTCCAAATAATAACTAGCTGAAGCGTGCAACAATATTAAAACATAATCATTATTTTATTAAAATTATAAAGCTCTAGGAACATACACTAACAAAGAGTAATATGAAACGAAAATTAAATTGCTAAGATAAAAAAAAAATCTTAAATGATGTTTTAAATTTTTTTTTTGTTACAAGTAAAATAAAATATAAATTAATATTTTTTTTCGAAATTATTTTATAAAGAGTGTAATAATTTATAACGATTTTAACCTATTACAATTAAATTTATTACTAATTAATTAGTAGAAGATGGACGTTGATCAACGTTGATCCAAATGAATGGAACTCATCTCACATCTTGTATTCTATTTCCCATTATGTTTTATTGTATTTAACCGCGTGAAGGGAATAACCATCATGAACGTAAAATTTTCCTTTCCTTTCTTTTTCATTAAAGAGTGAGATTTTATTTCTAGATAAATTGTATTTATTATAAATATTACTCCATCTGACTCTTTCATTTAAATACAATATTCCTCTATTTCCATACCTGTACCTAATCACAAAATATAACGAAGTGTGATAGGTTTTAATTAATTAATTAATTATTAAATACAAAACATAATATTTATGTATCACACTCCGTTTCTATAAAAATTCATTTCAAACACCTGACAGGAAACAATAACTGCTTAAAATGTACATATAATATAATTAAATATAACGGTAGTACAAAGAGTAATAACCCGTGTTTCGTGAGTTCATTATATTTATTAACCTATCAATAAACAAAATAGTTATTAACATAATAACCTATAAACATTTTTCAGTTTATTCCAAAAAAAAATTCAAAGAACAGGATCAAAACGACAACAAATTGGTCAAAATGGCTTCACTTTTTCCACAATTTATTTACAACAATACAAACTTGTCAAATTTAAACGGACAGCCTTTAAAACTTTGAATATATAGCCCTTGAAACTATGTTCACCCCATGTTACATTGAGCCATAATTCTTAAAAAATACGAGCTTTAATTCATATAAACTACACCGCTATCATCTTTAATAATTTTGAAATACACATATTTTGGGGGGCTTCTATAGCTTTGATTCCAAATTAGGTTTTCGTTTTAAAAAACATACTATGGCTTAGTATCTTCCTCTCAAATATTAGTCCTCTGATAACCTAAATTGCTAGAAATAGGGTATACTCATCATTTTTGAAAATATATATTTGTCTGGTATCAATTGATTCATACAGGTTTAAACCTTTTTGAATACAGATTTATTTTATAATTTTATAAATAATATAAAATTTATCCCAGAACAAACAATTATTAAAAATGTTTGGGTAGTGAACTTACTGCCACCTGTATGAAGTTGTCAAAAAAGAGTTGTTTTTTTTCGTCCTACCCTTCCTCGCCTTTTAGCTATTCCGGGCTTTTTTCGTGCCAGGAGAGAGGGCGTGGAATTAATCCTAGAGTTAAAACCCAGATCTCGGCACCGGCCACCAACTAGGCCGCCTCACCTCATAAGATTATAACGTTCGAATGCAAGCTTTACATTAAATTATTATAACATTAAAAGAGTCATGTTGATCTTTTAACTTGAGTTTGACAGCCCAAAAGAGAATATTTATGATAAACATTCATATGAGTTATCCTCTAAATCTTCTGGCAAATAGATTCCCTTCCCCCTCCCCCATACTGCAAGCTTTTTTTTCAAAACATTTTTTTAACACAATATTAGAAATGTGACAAAACGTTGGATTTGGAGACGGTAGCATATTCCAAGTTGTGAACTGAAGCGTGAATATTACATTAAATTATGTATAGTAACTAAATTTAACTGATGGCTCTATAATATTAACTTTTGGGAATAATTATAATATAATCAATAATTTTAAAATAAAGTCGAACTGAAGTGATAGAACTTAGAAAATATTAGGAGAGGGGAGGGGGAAAGATGTATGCTGTACATAAAGGATTAACGCAGTTTATTAAAGGTAATATATTTAATATAATATATACTCTGGTCCCATTTATAAAAATTAGAGTGGCTGAACCCTCCCCCCCCCCCACTATTGCTGACGGCTCTGAAACAGTACGAAATCGGCAAGCCTACGAATTGAGCTCAAAGGTGTGGTTCTCTTTGTTGTACAGCTTTTCACCGACTTTTTGCCACACCTAGAACGTATCCAAACTACTATTTTAACTAGGATAGGCACAGAACACGCAATTCCTTTCGTGAAAATACTATAATATAATTGTAAATTTATCAAAATTATTAAAAGGATAATAAATTAGTGATCATGAAATGAAATGAAAATATGTTTTATTATTCCGGGACTGTTGTCTCTTTAGAACATATTAAAAGTGCTGAATACACGTGTAAGTGGTAATAAATAGAGTAGATATTTACAATATTGGTTATTTTAAAATAAAAATACATACTGAAAGAGAGAAAAAGATATGAAAAGCGTACATACACATACATAATAAGCGTACATAATACATACAGAGAAAACTAAAATAACAGAAATATTTTCTGGGGGTACTTAGATAGCTCTCTTAGGTATATTTCGTTATCAGGCGAATTGAGAAAGGATTAGGTATTTAAAGAGGAGAGGTTTGGATTCAGGGATGGAATTCCAGAAGGAGGCGGCTTGAATTGCAAATGATTTGTCAAAGTTTGCAGCAGTTCGGTGAGGAGTGGGATAGAGGTCGGAAGTGCGAGATATATTAGGACGGGATTGGATGGAGTATTTAAATTGTAAGCAATGGAAAATATAGGAGAGTCGATGAGTTCTAATTATTATGCAGTAATTTAATTACGAATGTTCGATTGGATACGATTTATCATAATATGTTTAAAAATAGGTGGGATATATTGCGATCTAGTTTATTTTAATGGTGTGATATTTTGGACAAGATATGGATTTTGATTGCTGTAAAAAAAAAATAATATCGAAAAATTGTATTCTCGGAATTGAGAAATTTTTAATCTACAAATTGGCAAAATTTGAATATTTAATTGGTTACAAAAATCTCTTAAATATCCATTTGCTTTTCACTTGGATCGTAAGATAATTTTAGCACAAAATCCAAAAAAAAGTTGGCCTAAAGTTTTAAAACTTTTAGGGGTGTAGATCAGTCCAAACGGCCCAATATTTTTGGAGACCACCTTTTTTCTCGATTTAGTCATCAAATCATCTTATGATTCGTTGAAAAGCAAATAAGTATTTACGAGTTTTTAGTGCCTAATTAAATGGACAAAGTTTGCCGATCTCCTCATTTAAAACGCACCAATTCCGAGAAGTTTCGGAAATAAAACAGTTGTGGATCACGATGAGATGAAGCTATTTACGAAATTTCAGGCGGATGTTTGTAATTTGATAAAAAGAGGTCTGTATCATCGACTACACAAGTGTTTTACTCAAATACTGACCTTTTTTAAGTACCATATAATTTAATTACTATTTCAATTGATGTCAAACGATTAACTGAAGTATGATTGAATTTCCAACAGTGAATCGATTGGTTTCATATGGTCACAGAACAATGCAGACAAAGATTGGTCCATTTTGTATCCCTTTTGATCGTAGGACAGCTGTCTCATGTTGTTGATGGATCAAGTCTTTTAGGGAGCGAAGATTGTTTAAAAGTCAAAACTATAGCGGCTATCCATTCAATATCAGAGTTTGAAAAAAAAATGTACGATATATTAAGTCAAGTATTTTTTTGGGAGAGAAAACTCTAAATGGGTGTATTTAAACAAAATAAAACAAAAAATGTTTCCTTAATATACCTTAAATTGTATTAAAACGCATGCTCTTTGTATACGAATGTATCATTATTTATTTTGACGTGAGATTGGGAGTTCGACTGTCAGTTATCGATTTCTTTTTTTCTATCATTTTTACACTGAACGAAACGTAATAGAACTCATCTAACATTCTTCGTAAACTTTGTTAATGAAACTCCGATCGAGTGGACCTGTTGCTACAGTTCT